TAATAATTCCTTCAGAAAAAAATAATAATAGACTGATCACTTCAATCACTTTGTGGGACACTGCTGTGTGCAATTGACTGCTGGATTATTATTATTAATAATATTATTATCATATCATTATTATATTATCAAAGGACTGATGTGTCATGAGCGTGTGGTCAAGCACTCACAAAAGGAGATCAGCAAGGTCCTATATATTTGATCTCTAATCCGTGTTGGATCTCCTGATATCGGATGAGGGTGCTTAGTGTCTACAAGTGGAAAACACACCAAAATCTAATATATATTTGTATAATATTTTTGTAATCCTTGAAAAATATGAAGATAAAAATGTCTGAACCCATTTTGCAGATAGGCCGACGGATGGTAGATGGATAAATACAACAGTGATCAATATCAGAACTGGAAAAGCTCACAAAAAATGGGATTTCCTTTCGAAAAAAGAAGGAAAATGGATTTTGGTGTTGTTATTGATCATTCATTCACTGACCAAGTTTCTGGTCAATGTGAATTTTTTGTTAACAAATGTCATCAAATAAGAGTTTGCAGCTTTAGGGCATTTGACTAAAAGTAGAATAATTCTACTCTTGTATGCATCACTGGTGTGGCTACATTTGGAATATTGTGTGCAGTGATGGGAACCTGAGCCTCAAACAGAGGATGAAACATTGGAGAGGGTTCAGAGCAGAGCAGAGGCACCAGTATGACTTGGAATTCATTCCGGTTAGACAACATACTGAGATTTGCCTCTTTACGTAGATGGGAAGCATAGGTGATGTAAAATGTAAATAGGCTATTTGGTTTAGATGATGAAAGCAGAACAGAAGGGCATTAAATCAAAACAAAAAAACAACTTAAGTCAGACTGGAGACAAAAAAAAATTCCTTCCAGAGTCCTGGACATGTAAGTGAACTCCCAACAAAAACACGGCATTGTTGATTAACTCTGTTTACAAAAAGAAACTAGTTCAGTACAGTGTGAAGATTAGAAAATAGGATTAGTGGATGTGGGGATGAGGTCTTTATACATTCCACGCTTTCTATATTCTTTACATAGTTATTTGCTGATCTGAAATCATGCACGTGTAGATGTAAGGTGAAGAGAAGACTGAGCTCAGTTATGATTAGCTGATAAGATTAAACTGACCACTGACTATACTGTCCAAACGCACTTGGGAAGAATGGCCACTCGGATTAAACTATTGCCGGGACCAACTCCTCTGCAAGATCAGCGCAGGTCACTGACTTCAGCAGAGCAATAGTGAAAGATGAAAATCAGAGGGAAAATTGAAGCAGGCTGATTCGATCCACAGGACTGTAGCGTGTGCCGATTGCCAAAGCCCGCAAAGCTTTTGTTCTACACTTAATGAGATCTCCCATTATAAGCTTGGAACAAAAGGTTTGCTAGTATTAGAGCACAGAGGTTTAGAGCCCATCCTATCCTTTCCTTCACACTTACATGCATCAATGCGTACTTCTTCCACGCCAGTTTCACACTTGGCTGTGCAGTCTTGTGGATTACTGTATATCCCCATTCAAAGTCAGTTTTATAATGAGAACCTGTGGGAATTTTCAGTGGGTCATTGTTGACTCCCCGCGTTCACAGTGGAGCCACGTCGAGAGCCACTGCAATTCAGTTCAGATCAGATCAAGATGATGCAAAGAAAATGCAATCTTCTAATCTTCACATATTCGGACTGGGCTGATTCACGTCCCGTGACAGACGGCACTAAATTTCTGGCTTGTTTCGTGTGCTGAGGTGGTGATCTCTTCACTGTTCACCCCACCCACAAAATGTACAGTCAATTCACTTCACAGTATATTCTGTGAAGCACTTTGAGATGTCTCGAAGACGTGATAAGGTGCTATATCAAATGCAAGGATTATTATTATTATTATTATTATCTGCGGTGAGCGATATGCGATGAGCATTTAGACCGGTCTTATCTCAAAACTCCTGCCTTGATTCCCGAGTCAAAGGGTGGGGAGCTCTTGCTCTAAATTATAGCCTGAGCAAATGATCCCGAACCATTTAGAAACCCAGCATTTACTGGGAAGCAGCTGCAAATTCGCAACAAATGCAAATTTTGCATCTGTAGTGCAAATGGAATTTCAGTGATCTCGCTCTCCCTACCTCTATCCCCATTTTAATTCCTCTCTCCCCTTTTCTCTGCTTGTTATTATCCTCTCTTTGCCCGCACCCCCTTTCCTCCGCTCTAATGTCTCTCACCCTTACATTACGCATCCTAACAAGCTCTGCTGCTGGCTGTTTAGCAGCACTGCTTGAAACAAGGCATTTCTATCTGTTATCAGCTCCTGATTCCTGCCTCTCATCATTACAACCAGAAACTGTTCAAAACCATGATAATTGGTACAGAATTCTGCAGCTCCACCAGCTACAGATGCATGTTAAACAGCTTTTCAGTTACACTGTCGTCTCTGTCAGTGCCTGCTGGGGCTCAGCAGCTGAAAAAAAGGATTCCTACACAAAATTCTTAAGATATCAGTATCTCCATGGGCCAATTCAGCCCACGCACCAATCCCACATCAAACAGCTTGTGGATAATTCAGTCTTTGCGATGGCTAGCTGGAAATTTTTAACCTAAGCTGCTTTTTTTTGTCTTTTGTTTTCTCTCTACCTCCGCTGGCTAGAATTTACAATTCCCTGCTGGCGTTTGGCTGGCGAAGATTGTATGTTTTTCTCTTTAACATCTCTTACACTCTGGTTGCAATAAACACGGGTAGGTTTACGGCCCAGGTCGCCATCACTCGACTTTGCAAAGGATTCGAACTGAAAGAAAGACAACAATTGTTTCTCCAGACATACGCTGATTCCTTTCTCCCCACCACCCCCACCACCCGTCTCTCTCTCTCTCTTTCTCTCCTCCTCTGTTTCTCTGAAGGTTTCTCTCTCTCTCCCCTTTCTCTCTCTCTTCTCCCCACCCCCACCCTCCCTTTCTCACTCTCTCTCTTACCCACTTTTTCGCTCTGCTCTCCTTTCTTGCTCTCATCCCCTTAATGCTGCAGGAACAATGTTGTGGCAATCACTCAACTCTACACGTACAGTTTGAATAGCTTCTTAATTTGGAACAAAATACGTGCAATAATATACACATCAACAGCTTTAAACAGGCAATGACCATGGTGATAGCATTAAGCAATAACATAAAGAGTTCCTCGAGATAGAACACTCTGCTTAACCACATTCAAATCTCCCTGCACACCAATGTGATAATGATTGACTTGTGTCTGGAATTGACTTTTAGGTCCCAATTAGCTTCTGATACATTTAGTACTTATTTCATCAGATGTTGTAGTTTCAGTCTGGTTATAAAAACTTTCTTGTCTAACCCAGACTATGGCATGTGGCAGGGTTTCCACAATCAAGATTGTCGCAGCCTGAGGGAATACAAATTAGACATTATACTTTATACTTACGTGGTGGTGCCTTTCAGATTGGGAGACCATCTCAAAGCACTTTCATATAAGACTTGACAGTCAGATTTCAAACTTTAGCTAAGTGCGGGGACTGTGTTGGTAATTTTCTCTATGTTAGATGTACGAAAGCTGCCGTAATGCGCGCCAGGCAAATACATTTAGCTTTATTTCAACAGTATCAGAAAATGTGTAGATATTAGTAATGAAACTTAGCACCCAGCATGGGCGAACACAAACAGCTTTAGTCCTGTCACCTTATGTTAAGTGATGCAGCTAATACACAATGCACAACAAAGGCTAACAGCAACACATAATTCACTACTAAATTAATAAAAGCATTATAATCCTCATGTTTTTTTGTCAGAATACCACTTTCACAGCTAAACTATCGCCTCTTAAATCAAATCTTCGCAAGCACACACATACACACACACACACACACACACACACCAAAAGAAACGAAGCAGAACACTTCAGAGTACTGGACCAATACTCAGGCTAATGTGTAACTTTACCCTTGCATTGCATGAACTATTTTTGGAGTCTGCATGTGTCTGTCTGTGTGTCTGTCTGTCTGTCTGTCTTCTCTGGCACGAACTTTAGTGAATTTACACAGCATTCTCCTGTGCAGTTCAGAGAAGAGAGAGAGAGAGGGAGAGAGAGAGAGAGGGGGATGTGGTGTGTGTGTACAGGTGAACCCAAAAGATTAAAAGCCATCAATGTTTCCCCTCTTGCCCTGATGCAGTTGAAGAGCATTTGACCTCAACTTGACTGTCTCATCATCCTTCCCTTAGCCCTCTCGGCTGCTTGTGTCGGCTCTCAGTGCTGGACCAGGAAGGCAGATTGAGATCAGTGTGTCCCCCTCTTGACACACAGAAGCTGTGCAAACCATCCCTAACAGTCCGAGAAAAGAAAGGAAAGGCAGAGAGACAGGGTCCAACCTACACAGTCACTCACATCGTTGCATTCGTTCTGCCTCTGTGTCCTTCTTCGTCCACTTCTCCATTCCATCAGTAAAAGTCTGATATTCCCATCGCCGTATCTCTTCTGTCTCCCCAATGACCCCTTAGGGGGGGAGGTCCCCCCCTTATGCCCAAATCCTACCGTGTTTCCAGAATGTTTACAACAGTGTTTGCCACAAACCCCGAGAGTGGGACACAACAGGAAAAAAAGGATCATTTACGAGAAGGAACGAGTGTTATAGGTTTCAGAGGCTCGAACAGAATGGGAAACGATGGGAAGACCTGAAGGATTGTGTGTGTGTGTGTGTGTGTGTGTGTCTGTGTTGGAAAAGCATTCTTCTCCTCCTCTGATTCATTTTCTTACAACATCCACCTCTCAACAGAGTCTGTGTCTCTCTCTCTCTCTCTCTGTGGTCCTTCTGCCTCTCTCCATCCCCTCTCCCTCTCCATCCCCTCTCCATCCCCTCTCTCCCTCTCCATCCCTCCCTCTCTCTCTCTCTCCAAAATACCTGTGTCCCTCTGCCAATGCACCTCTTTCCCCAAATGCAACCCCCCCCCCCCCCCCACCAAAAAAAAAAAGGCAGCGAAGTGCTGTACTCACAGGGAACTGTGCAGATCAGATCAGAGCGGAGTGGCCAACATCCCGAGGGCGGAGAGAGACGATCGGAGTTGCCTTCAGCAGCGGTCGGTCAGCACAGGAGCATCTCCCCCCTCCGCGACCATCGCCAGTCACTGACAGCTCCGACTGCTGCTCTCGCCCACCGCGCAGACTGACAGGTGCTGTGCTGTCTGTCTGTCTGTCTGTCTGTCTGTCTGTCTGTCTGTCTGTCTGTCTGTCTGGTGACTGCCCCCCCCCCCTCCACCCCCCCAATCGACTTGACCCCCTTCCTTCCCAGGCGATGAGTTTGCTGCTGCGAGAGGACGCAAAGAGTGACTCAAAGTGGGCTTCTGCTTTTTTTTTGGGGGGGGGGGGGGGGTGTGTGGGGGGGTGTGGGGGGGTGTGGGGGTGGGATGGGGGGGGGTCTCCGTCTCGAACTGCTCTCGAACAGGGGGTCCGAGGGGTTGCTCCCTAATTGCAGGCGACGTGTGGTCAGTGATGGGGCACTGCCTCTCGCGTTCGGTCCCCCAACAGCGCTTTCATTGAAGAAGGTCGGGGGGTGAGCAGTGAGCGATTCGCTGTGCGGGGGAGACGGGATCGCATGTTACTGCATCACCGCCACCACCTTTCGAAAAGATTCATTTTGATGCATATGTTTTTTTTTTGGGGGGGGGGGGGAAATACCGTGTGCTAAGGAGCTTATTGATTTCTGGGGGGGTGTTGGGGGGGGGGGGGGGGGGGTGTTGGGGGGGGGTTGGGGGGTGTGCAATGATAGCACAGCACTCAGCACAAACCAAACAGTTCTTGCTGCCACTAATGTGCTTTGCTCAACGTGGTTGGGACTTTGGCTGCAACTTTCTGAGTGCCTAATATCTGAATTTGTGTGTGAAGTCGGAATTATGCGAGGCCGACGACGACAACAACAGCCGCCGCAGCCACGACGACAACAAGATTGCGTTTATAGAGCGCCTTTCACGTCGGGAGGACGTCCCAAGGCGCTGCGTTGGTATGTTGGTGGGAGGGCGAGAGAGGGGGGGGGGCTTTAGGGGGTTAGGGTTGCGGGTGGTTGGGCGGGAGGGGGGGGCGGTGGTGGGGGTAGGACCAGTACAACATCACAGACGAGCTATTTAACCAATACTGCCCGGTACTGGACACTATCTCCCAAATGGGGCATCTGTCTGTATCTTTCCATTCAAATGGGCCAACAGGATGAATTATAAAGAGTTGCCATTTCTGACGTTGTCGCTGAAGGAGAGAAATCTCTAGCCCCGAAGTACAAGCAAAGTTTCTCCCCCCCCCCTCCACCACCACCACTGTGAAACTTAGCACACTGAACTGCGTTGGAGAGAAAAAAATCTCTCAAGCTCCCAGGGAACGCTGACCCACCGAGCTGTAGGAGAACAGGTGCAGAACTAGGAATTGATGCCACGCTACAGTGGAAGAACAGTAAGGCGAAGTTTGGCGAAAACGGATTAACAAGCTGTAGCTGTCAGCGCCTTGGGACGTCCTCCCGACGTGAAGGGCGCTCTATAAATGGAATCTTGTTGTTGTTGTTGTTGTAGTTATAGAGCGACCTCATGCAGGGTAGTGTCCCGAGTGCTTGGCAGTGGCTGAGCACGACGTCTAGCACAGAGCACGGAGCGTTAACAAACAAGGGTGGGGAAAAAAGATGAGTCCAGCCGAGCTTCCCCCAATGGCCGAGTGGGTCAAAGGACTGGCTCATGTGGTGTCAGGGTAATCAGACCATAATGTTGCAGGTTCAATTCTACATCTGTGCTGAATGAATAGATTTCAGCTAGGGAATGGTCTGGGATGCACTGAATAATAATAATAATCCTTGCAATTGATATAGCGCCTTATCACGCCTTTGTGACGTCTCAAAGCGCTTCACAGAATACTCTGTAAAGTGAATTGACTGTATATTCTGTGGGCGAAACGCGGCAGTCAATTGCGTACAGCCTCAGTGGCCTTGGGCTAGGGAAGGAAAAGAAATATCAGCCAAAGAACTCTGCACTGCTCCCTGCAGGAAATGATGCATGAGCAAATGTTTCTCTCTTCGTCTACAATTAAGACGTTTAACTGATTCTTACTTGTCTGGAATACCTGGTGTCAGAGAGGACTGGGTGCCTGGCGACACATTGCCCCAGTGGCCCTTCTTCATGTGTGGGCTATTCACGTGTGAGCCTTCACAGTGAGTGTCGTCCTTCTATTCAATCAAGGGGGAAATGGGAAGGGAAGCATCACAGCCGAATCCAGTCGTGTTCTCACCTGACAATTCACACATGTACACCTTCCAGCAGAGGTCACTAGAGATTAAGGAGGTAGGAGGCTCATTGTGGAGTCCTGTAGCTCAGTGGTTATAATAATAATAATAATAATCCTTGCATTTGATATAGCGCTTTTCACGTCGGGAGGACGTCCCAAAGCGCTTCACAGAACATACTGTAAAGTGAATTGACTGTATATTTGTGGGCGAACGCGGCAGCCAATTGCGCACAGCAATGTCCCACAAACAGTCGTAGATTGAAAATGACCAATTTATTATTGTTTTTGGTTTTGGAGGGATTATTATTAGGCTCTGTGTGGAGTAAGGAAACTTGCCCAAGGTTTCGCCCTCTGCCTGGAATTGAACTCAGGTCTCTCGCTTGCAAAGCGAGTGCTCTAACCACTGAGCTACAGGACTCCAAAGCACTCGCTTTGCAAGTGAGAGACTTGAGTTCAATTCCAGACAGGGCGAAACCTTGGGCAAGTTTCCTTACTCCACACGCCTAATAATAATCCCTCCAAAAAAACAAAACAATAATAAATTGGTCATTTTCAATCCATGACTGTTTGTGGGACATTGCTGTGCGCAATTGGCTGCCGCGTTCGCCCACAAATTTACAGTCAATTCACTTTACAGTATATTCTGTGAAGCGCTTTGGGACGTCTAGAAGACGTGAAAAGCGCTGTATCAAATGCAAGGATTATTATTATTTTATTATTATCTATCCCTTCCTTAACCCAACGTAGCATCCAAGTGAGCAAGAGGATCAAATCCTTCATCCAGTCGGTGAACCACTTCAGTGCTTGCTGTCACTCGACTGCATTGTGTGGAAACACCTTCTTTGCAGAATGTGCTCTCGTGAACATTTATGCTTGTGGCAAATAATGTATATTTATTCATGAACCCACATCACATGCAAATGAATGTAAATGAAGGCTGGATCCTCAGGATAGGAGAGGGTCACATGGGACAAATTATTCCAGCAGCTCTTCCACAACTACCTTAGCTTGAATTACCAAGTTGACGGGATGTGAGTAGAGGGGAGGAAGGGGGAGGGGGTGGAGAAGAGAACAGGAATCCCAAAGAGTAGTATCCACATGAATTGCTTGTGAAATAAGACCAGGCAAAGAAGTGGACGATAATGTAGTGGGAGCACACGGGCAAATGCAGTGAGTGGTATGTAAAACGAGCTACATACATCATTTAGCATTGACTGCTTTTAACCCAAACAAATATCATTGGACCAAGTCGCCCTTGGGATGAAATCAATTAACATAAAGAACGCTTTATAAAACACTGCAAAGTTTCCCCCTCCCCTCCCTCCCCCCCATCCCTTTTACACTGCAACTTGTCTGAAGTGTTAGAGCAATCTGCTTGTCCCAAGCCACTGTTCTAATTATAGCAGTAAGACGTTCAAGTAGGTGACTTGAATAGAACTATCTTTCACTGAAAGTTTGGGAATGTCATGTATTTATAGCTGTTATGCAGAAGTTTATCTGGGTAAGTTTGGAAGGAATCTTCAATAGTTCCTCTTTTAGGATCTCCACTTCTCTTTTCAAATCTCTCCACCTTGCTCCCTCCCTCCCTCCCTCCCTCCCTCCCTCCCGGTTCTCAAAACCTGCCTAGAAAACCTTCTCCTTGACTGCACTTTCATCCACCTCCCCCCTCTCCTTCCTGTCTGCCTCCCATCTTGAGCTCCCTCTCAGGCCTTGTCAAACCCTCGGAGACGTTCTCTCATCGTGAAGGACTCTATGTTTGTGTGAATCGTTTCTGCATGAACAATATAATGCTATTCTCCTCGGTACGACCCTCAGCTGACTCCGTGCAGGTCTGAATACTGACATTGTAGAGCCAGAGAGACAGTCTGCCACGACAATCAGGCTCCGCAACTTTTCACAACGTGCTTAAGTCACTGTGCACAAGGTTACATCGACAACTAACAGTGACCACGAAGGGCATCTCACCTCTGTTTGTGTGGGGTTAAAATTCTCGCTCCTACTCCAGCAGGAGAGATGAAGCAAGATAACATGTGGACTATGATAGATGAGGATGCACCGTACCAGAAATTGCTTCTTGCTACCAAATTTTATATTCAAGTGATTTTGCTGTACCTTTTCCCGTTTCCAAGCCTACCTCAGCCACACTAGATTTCTCATGTCAGCCAGGGTCCTTCTGCTCCTCCGAGATCACAGAGGTGTTCTGTTATTTCAACCCCAAGGACTGAAAATCTGGATGAATCATCTGTGTACAAGTAAAGGGGAAACAAAGTTTTGCTTAAGTCATCATGGACCACTCCTAACCTCGAGGAATATTTTACAAACCAAAAAGAAAGGCTGTGGTGGTGGAAATCATACAGAAATCATAGACATTTGAGCAATCACCGAAAACAGAGTTGCGCTTTTTAAATAGCAAATTATGAGGAACTACAACCATTTGCATATTGCAAGATCATAAGAGGGAATGAATGAAAAAGGCTCTTCTGACTATTTGATTTCATTCTGTGTGCAATTGGCTGCTGTGTTTCGCCCACAAAATATACAGTCAATTCAATTTACAGTATATTCTGTGCAGCGCTTTGAGACGTCTCGAAGACATCATAAGGCGCTATACCAAATGCAAGAATTATTATTATTCTTCCAGAAAACATCCTAATCCTTTTCTATTACAGCATCAAGTTTTTTCTTAATGCGAGTGCAGTTTGCTGTTCTCAACCATCTATCTTGCGAAAGCAGTCAGTGGTTGATTGCCCAAGTAAAGAAATACTTCCCGCCTGACTTTGTCCTTCCCAACCTGACCCTTGTCTTTGGAGCATCTGAAGACAAGTATTGTTCCGCATTTACATTCTCTATCCCATTGAACAT